CTTATTAAGTGTTTGAATTGACCTATTCCTATGTTTAGTACACATCAATTTAAAAAAATATTTAAAGATAGCAACTATTCTCACTCGATGCAAAACGAAAACAAAACATAAAAAAATGAACAACCAAGGATTGGATATATTTTGTGTTTAGTTGACTAAAGTAAAAAACTTAATTGAAACACAAATGAAAGTACATAAATGGACATACTATAGTAAAGAAACTTGTTCCAACTTGTTCCACGTTTCCTATTGGTTTAACTACTTTTTGTCTCTTTATTTCTCTACCTTCATTTGACTTTTAGACAATGAGGAAGGTTTTTTTTTTAAAGAACTGAAACTATAGTATGTCCATTTATGTACTTTCATTTGTACTTTATTCACATTGTTTTTCTCTTTAGTGTAAAAAAAATTGAACGTAAAAATGAATTAAATAGAGTAAACTAACCAGTGAAGGAACACTTAAGCTTCGCTTGCTTTTAGAAAATCATATTAATTTCAAAATTCGTAATTTTAGTTAAATGACAACATCAACATATTTGTTACTAATTGCAAATTATGTAAAACAAATTTTTAGAGAACTTACATATTGTTTTAAAGTTTTGGAGGTTCAACTAACAAGTAGTAAGAAGACCCAGTGAAGGAACAGCTCTTACCAGTGAATGAACACCCAGTTAAGGAATACTTAATTTTGGTTATTTTTTAATGCTCTTTATGAATTTATAAGCCATACAAATATTTAAAAACAAGCCTATTCTTGAAATTATAACATATAAATACTTGGAAAATGTTAGCGTTTTTTTTGTAATCATGAATTGAAAATTAAAGTGTCAACATATTAACACATACTGTTCATTCACTGGGAAATCTATGCCCAGTAAAGGAACATGCCTGTTCCCTCACTGGTTAGAAGTTGTTTTTCGTATTTTTAACATACTTTTGATGCGGAACATCACTAAAGGTACAAGAAAATTAAAGTTTATCTTTTATTTTCATTAACTTAGAAAAAAACCCAGTAAAGGAACACTTGTTCCTTCACTGGTTTTTCATCGTTTGGTGATCCAGTGAATAAACACCCCCTTATCTCAGTACTTTATTATGCTATGATGCTTAAAAAAATAAAACGCAACTTCAATAACTGTATTTTGAATTCTCTTTTTCACAGTGAGAAAAATAAAACTATTACATGCAATTAATTCCACTTCAAACATATAAATACAAACACTCACCTTATAATTTTTTCAAAGAAACAAGGTGTTGCAGAGATAATAACAAATTCAAAAATTTTTCCAGAGAAGTCTATTTGACCAGGTAATCCAAAACATTGCTAGATGACTTCCTATTGTTTGGCAGTAAGCTATTGTTACCAATCAATCTAAAGAAAAACTTTCAAATTCTTATTTTTAATCAATATATCTGAAATGTTCCTTCACTGGGTAGTGTTCCTTCACTGGTTGGCTTACCCTACCCTTATCAGTTTCCTTAAATATCTTCAAACAATTGTAATTGAAAACAACCTTTAATGCCAGAAAAGGTTAAAATTTTATTACAACCTACATGCGTATCAGTGTCACAATGGTACATTTTCATCAGTACGATAAATGATACACCCTCATCATTAAGATAAAAAATCCTCATTAGAAGTATAACGTATGAATTCGATTGATGTAGGGTGCACATGTGACATCGATGCTGCAATAGGTTTTTAAATAATTTACATTTGGAAATTTAAACATTGTTTTATTGAAAATTTATAAAATCACAAATAATTACTCTTGTAATTTTTATCTTCTTACAATTATTCAATTCCTTCTGAGTAAAAAAATTTTTTTTGAAGAACATAGATTAATACATATAATAATAATAATAATAATAATAAAGTGATTTCTCTAAGTGATTTGATCAAAATCCTTAACCGATTAAGTGAAAAGATGAAATAAACATACGGATTTTTACATATGTTTAAAATAATTCAAAATAACAGTTTTAATATTTATTTATTTTGCAAATCATCAATCATATTTATTGATGAATATAATCCTGAAGCTCATAAATTTTAATATCGTTACAAAAGATGAATGTAAATATGAATATATTGGTGAATCGTGTAGGCGGCTATTGATAATAATCACTATTTACTCATTTTTATAATCTGATAAATCAAGGAAAGTGAGTAGCATTACCCGGGAAACCCCAACACTGTTGCGCTTACTTTTTTTTAGGGTTAAGTGCCTTAAAAAATGTTAAAAGAATAAATAAGAGAATCGAAACTTTCTATCTTAAAGGATTCGTACAACAAATAAACAACGCGTATAAAGCATTTGTATAAAAAAAAAAATTTAAAAACGATTCTAATAAAAAATAATGCACAAAAGCAACACATCTGTATCTAAAATAAACAAACAACTAATATCGTTCAGCTATTTTAGCAAGAAATCACCATTACCGCATGCGTAGTGGAAATCCATAACCAAATCAGTTGAAACATTGACCAAACTTTGTCGGTAATTATTAATAACTATAACCTTTAAATAAGATAAATTCTGATAAATGAGCCATGGTGATTAATAACAATAACCTTCAAATAAGATAATTTCTGATAAATGAGCCATGGTGATTAATAACAATAACCTTCAAATAAGATAAATTCTGATAAATGAGCCATGGTGATTAATAACAATAACCTTTAAATAAGATAAATTCTGATAAATGAGCCATGGTGGCTCAGGGCATATAGCGTTCGCCTTTCAATGAAGTGAACCGGGTTTGAATCCCAGAGATGGTTGGCGGATACGAATTTCGCACCCGCATCGCACCGACCAGTGCTGACGTAAAATATCCTCAGTGATAGACGGATCATGGGTTGGAGTCCCTTGCCTTCAGACTAACCGTGTGAGGTTTTCGTGGATTTCATCTTCATGTAACGCAAATGTAGGTTAGTTCCACCAATGAGTCCTCTACGATGACAAACCTTTCTCAATGCTTGAACCAGGAGTTCCCTTGTCTTCTGGATTGGGTTCAAAATTACGAAGCTACGGAGTTGAACATTAGTAGTCGTAAATCCAAAATCTGGTCAGCTATTTAGATATTATTAATAATGATCGGAGTTTATTAAAACTGATTAACTACATTGTCTGTAACATCTTATACAATATTATTTCATCTTTTTACTTAAACAGTTTAGGAGTGTACAACCTGTTTGAGTGAAGGGCTACATACACAGCATATTGACCAATGAAGGGCCGCATGACAAAGTATTTATTCAGACATATTGACAGCAATTTTTATATAAACATCATTGTTCTGGGCACTAAATTCTTTTTTTCACTTAGCCTTGTAATATCTTTGCATAAAATTAAATACTTTTAAATGTGTAAAATTAGAAACTGCAAAACTGATTGTTTAGGAAAAAAAATAGAATCAGAAAATCAGAAACAATTTATTTGAAAAAAATTAGATAAATTGAAATAAACTTTGGGAAAATTCATGGTTCTTTTTTATCATATTACATAATGCATAAGTCCATTTAAACATAAATTTTAACATTAAAAAAATAGTTCACGGAATTGAATTTTAAAAAAATAAATATTCTAGTAATTAAAATAAATGAAAGTTAAAAAATTTGATTTAAAGAAAGTTTATAGGGTTAAAAATTATTAAAATTAAAATGATTAAAATTAAAAATGATGAAAAAAAGCGATCGTAGAACTACATTGAGATTGGGTGCGTTAAAAACTATTTAATTTCAAATTTCCGAACTTTTTTAATTTTAAAAAAAAATTATTTTTTTGTTCATTCTGTTTAGATTGCAGCCGTGAGCCGCACATCAAGGGTTGGCGAACCGCATGTGGCTCGAGGGCCGCAGGTTGGGCACCCCTAGTTTAAGGATTTCATAAAATTATTTACACTCTTTACTCTTTAAAAGAATCACCCCGCAGAGTTATTATTTCAATATCTTTCGTTAATCGAACCTTAGTGAATTTATAAAATCTTACGTTTTCATAATCTCCCTGCGCCATATAAGTGTCACGAGTGATTTACTTCTTCCAAACAATCCAGAAGTCCAATTATGATCAGTAATTTATCATTCTTAATTCCTTAAGTTTTTTGCATAGTTTTTAAAGCAACAGGTGGGATCGACAATAAAGGCTACTGTTTTTGTCTTGACCAAATTTGAATGTTAAGCAAGGATTTCAACATTTAGTTGAGAGAGTTGCGCACTGTACTTCTACGGAAATAATTTCCGACGTCATGGAAGAATATCCATAAAAAGTGTGATTAAAATTAAATCACACCTTTGCAATCACACTTGGCGCATTTATACACTTTCATACGATAAAACTCAAAATCATGTACTAATTTTAATGATTACCTAACAGCTATGATAGTGACGTGATCAGTTTTTTGATATTTTGACGCAGCAATTTTGCACGTTTGGAGCATTTTGGAACGCAGCTTTAACGCTTATGTATCAATGGTTTAACGCTTATGTATCAACGCTTATGTATGAATTGTATAAACAACGCTTTTTCATGTATAAGGGCTTTAAAACAGGGTTTTAGACGCAACAAACGTAACTAAATATTTCAATTCTTACTACATTTTCCAGCAGCAATAATTGCAAGAAAATCGAATAGTTGAAGAAAGTAAGAATAACTATCATACCTTACCTTTGTGAGTGATTAAAGTCATAATTTATTAATACGTATCATGAATAAATATGTACTTACTTTAAAAAAATACTATATTACCAACTCAACTCTTGTGTTATTGACGTAACAAATTGAAATTTTCTGATATTATTGTACATTTTAAAACGACAAAACTTGCAGTTATTTTACTACTATGGTTTTGCTATGCTTGCACACATAATAACATCTCGTTACACACGAGATAATTCCTGTACCTGTTCCAATCTATATCTCTTCCATATACCTATGCTGGTCAGTACAAAAATAACAGATAACAAGAGAAAACAATGATAACAATTAATGAGGACTTACTCTTTTGAATACTGATTCACGGGAACAGTCTCTAATGTCTTCCATATCGTAGAATCCTATGGTCATCTTTATTAGAATCTTTTCAGAATAAACTTCATATGCCTACGGTCCTCTGCGATAACAGTTCGACAGTTCACACACAAAGAATAATATTAAAATAAAATGTCACCATCGCGTAAAAACATTCACTACTTTGAGTTATTTCATGTTAAAAAAATACTTATGATCATTTCATGTTAAAACACAAAATGAAAAATAGCATTAATAGAAACTAGAAAATGAAGTTTAGTTGAACCACTAAGGTACAATGTGCCAAATTCAAATTTAAAAAGCCATTTTGGAAAAAAATATTCTAAATTATGCACCGCGTAATGACATTCTTCCAACCTCTAGAAACAGTGTAGATCAGATTTCGAAGAAAGGAATAGTCTGAAGAATCTGAAACAAAGAAGAAAAAAATTATTTATTTATTTTAAAAAAATATGAGTGCATATATAAAACTAAGAAAATATAAAATGAGTAAAAGCATTTCCATTAAAATTATACAAGATTTATAATTTAATTAGACAAATTTATGAAATACAATGAAAAAAATAATTTTTATCAACTGGGTCCCCAAATACAAAGAACATTGCCCTCGTTTAACAAGAATTATTTATATAACGCGCGATGGTTAGGAAGTATAAATTAAGATAGAAAGATAACACTTCTTCTGGTGATACCCCATACACGAGCGTCTTAAAGAAGGATACATCCTAAGGAAGAGTTAAAAGAAGAAGGGTACATCCTATTGAAGAGTTCAGGGAAGAACTCTAAATAATCCTAGGGAAGGATTAAGGGAAGAAGAGTACACCCCAAGAAAGGATTAATAGAAGAAGAGTGCATCCTAAAGAAGGGTTAAGGGAAGAAAAGTAGATCCTAAGGAAGAGTTGAGAAAAAAAAGGTATATTTTAAAGATTGAGAATTAGATGGGATTCCATGGCAGGAAACGTCAGGGGCTTGCAGGGCATTACCTAGCGGCATAATGACGACAGGAGTTGAAATAAAATTCTCAATCCTTTAGATGTATACAATTTCCCCTAAACGTTTGTCAGAAGATTGTAGAGACATAAATTTATAAGTATTTTTATACTTATTGAATGATATTGCGATTTCATCAATAAGGGATCCAAGAAAGCATAAATTAACCTAAATGTAATAATTTTAGAAGCCCTCTGTATAGTTTACAGATATCCATTAAAAAAGCAAGTAGTTTAATTCATCTAATTCGCATTTTTATAGATATCGGAAGAATAATTTTTTTAAATTATATTTTTTATAAAAGGGTGTTTCCATCATAAACAATAAAATCGAAAGTTTAATTTGTTCTTACCCTCAAAATATAAACAACACCGCTTTTTGTATCACTCTTAAATTAATGAAAAATCTTTGAAATTTCTTGTGAAACCAATTGTGTTTTAATAATAAAAGGCTAAAATTAAAAGCCGTATCTTTGTTCGAATGAAAAGTTCCCATTCATCAAGTTAATTTGTTTTCCCCAAAACTACGTTCTTGAATCGACTGAAAATCACTCCTAACTTAATTGCAAAATTCCAAACTGATCTCTTTTTTTAATTTTTTTGAAAAACTAATAGCAAGGATGTTCCCGAATTTTTAAAAATTGACTTGAAAGCTTTTATGTTACTTCAGAAAATAACTCGCCTATTGAGCTTTTCATTCTGGACACAGCTCAAAATATGAGTTCTGGAAGGACAAAGCTCATAAAAAGAGTTTAAGAAAATGGGCCCAGCTCGAAAAAAGTGTTTAAGAGAACAGAAAGACACAGGAAAAATGCGCTTTTTCTATATTCAACCCAAATTCAATGAAAAGAGGGATTTTGTAATGACTTTTCCTTACTTTTTAAACACTAAGCATAAGAATTATGGAGCGAAGTCCTGGACTTTGGGATCAAGGTGGCTGGGTGCATTAGAAATAAAACTTTTCAGGCAATCTCAATGCATTTAGATCACTAAATGATAAATGATCCTTAAAAACTCTAAATTCGTGCAACGTAAATTTAATGTCACCATTATAAGTTTATAAAAATCCGTAACGACGTAGTAAATAACTGTTAAAAATCTTCAAAAAAGACTAATCAAAAAAGATCAAAAAGAAATAAAAAAAGACTAATTTTTAAAAACTTTTATTTGTGATTGTGATTTAGACAAATGGGAGACATGATATAACTATTTATTTAGATCCATTAGTTATTTATGCAAAAAAGAACAATAGAAATAAGTTCGAAAAACCGAACCATTATACTATTGCCCTTTTTTTTAAAAGCTGTGTCCGTTTTCGTACTTTAAGCTATCTTCATTTTGTTTAACACACATTTTGAAATGTGTCCATTTTCTTAAACACGCTTTTTTAACTGTGTCCATTTTCCTAAACACGCATTTAGAGCAGCGTCTTTTTTCTTTAACACGCATTTTGAGCTATGTGTATTTTTTTAAACACGTACTTTCAGGTGTCCATTTTCTTAAACACGAATTTTGAGTTGTATCCAGAATAAGAAGCTCATCAACGTTCTGTAGTTTAGATATATTTGTGAAAATATAAAATATAAAAGTTTGAAAACATTTTGGTTTAGCATTAACTCTTAATGAGGGAGGAATTTTAATGATTTTTGTAGAGACCATCTGCTACCATTCACGTAAAGTTAAAACTACTTTTAATTGGAAGAAAGTGTTAAGAGAAATTATTTTGCCTGTAAACGACAAATTGTTATCAAACAGTTTGAATAATTTTCGTCAAATCAAGTGATCGGACTTTTATTCACTTAACTGCATACTTTCTAGTATGAAGTGTGCAAGACCCTACGCTATTACCTACGTCAAATGTGTCAAAATTAACAAGTGTGGTTCAGTAATATGAAATCAAACACAAAACATTGTCTCTTTTATTTTTCATCCATTAATCCTTCCCTTCATCTATTTATTTATTTATTTACTTATTAATTTTTGGAGAACTATGATTTTTCTTCTAGTGTGAATAAACAACAATTTTAAGTACTCAGCTTTAAAAAAAAATCAGAATATGTATGAGGAAATAAAAAAAAAATAACATTTCTTTTATTTATTGTCTGAAAATTTCCTATCGGCGAAATCTATTATCTGTAAAGTTCATTTAAACTAATTCTATCTCTCGGCCTAATACGTTGATAAAAAGGAAGGTTTTTTAAATTACAGTAGATGTTTTTTAATTTTATTTTATTTTACTTTATTTTGTACCAAATTTCCTTAAATCCTCCTTTCATGCAGAAAAGAACAAAAAAAGACACTTAGTATCTCCTTTCTTTGAAATGTGTAAGATTTAAAAACTTGGCAAAATAATTTAATGTTTTATAGATAAATATTACTAACATAAGTCCTTTTACCGAAGAAAAAAAACAGATTTTTTTTTCAATAAATGTAACTTAAGAGTTTCATCCTCTAAACTTATAAATTATGCGTTATATTCCGTATTAAGTAAATGAAAAGAATAGTATCACTTCAAAATTATGTTCGACTTACGGGTAAAGTACCATACACAAGTAACATAGACAAGGACATCTTGTATAATTCAGAAAACATAAACTTTTTCCAATTACTTTACAAATTATGGAAGAAGAAGTTGAACCTCGTATTGTGATCAACGAACTCGTTGACGAATTATGATGCTGGCTTGAAGTCTACCCTTTGAGTACCACGCTAATATACGAATTTTGTTGGTTTTTTTTCCTTTCCTTTTTTTTTAACTTTGATTTGATATAATTATTACAGTCGTACGAGAACTACACTAATGGACTATTGGCGACAGTTTGGAATTCATCCTTAATGATGATCAGAAGATACTACTGTCGTATGCGCACTCTACACTAGCACAATTCAAAGCATAGGGAAGATGGTAATAACCACCGGGCCTCTACACCACGCACTCCCAATACCCCAACCATGCGTGAACATTTTTTGCTTTGAAATCGCTGGTTATATATATTATCAGGAATGAGATTGGCCAAAAGGCAAAAAAGCTGAATTTTCATGCGAGTAAATCGTGATTTATAGCAAAAATATCAGTAACATATTCTCATCCAGTTTCGCTGATGTTGTAATGCATACATATAGCAATAATCGTCGATAGAAAAACTGACACATTAATAGGAACTAATTCCAAAAAAAAAAACTTACTTTTTACAAGAATCGCGATCTTGGATTTTAAAATCGTGTGAATATAAATCACGATATTGAAATCACGTGAATGAAACTCGATATTTGATTTCAAAAACTTGAAAATACAACATGATGCGTAATTTTCAGATCGCGTAGATACGAATTACGATGCATAATTTCTAAATGGCGTGAATACGAATCCAAAGGCTAATTTTTAAATCACGTGTAAATACGAAAATAGATGTTGAATATTACAACAGCAAAAACAAATCACGACATTGGATAAACTCGCCGTGAATACGAATCATTACATAGAATTTTAAAAATGCCTCAATACAAATCGCGATATTGGATTTTTAAATCTCGTAAATAAGAAATGCAATGAACGATATTGAAATCGCGTGAATAAGAATCGTAATGCGCAACTTTTAAATCAGGTAAATACGAAAATCGATGTTTGACATTAAAATACGAGCTATCTAGCGGAAGGGGAAAAATTAAGAAAATCTTATTTTCTGCTCGTAAAAGCTAAAATAGGTAGATATGTAGAAGGGTTAGCAGCTACGTAGTTAGAATCTTCAATATATCTTTCGATATATTATATCTATATATCAAATCGGAAATAAATATAATTATTTTATTTTAACGACTGAATTTTCAGAAAAGGCGAAATATTTATAAAAAAAAACTGAAACTTTTAGAAAATTGGAGTTTTTGATAATAAGGCGGAAATTCAAGAGACAAAAGTGAAAAAGGCGGATATCCGCTAAAAAGCGGAAAAATCTCATCCCTGTATATTACAGTCAAGTCTAAACTACTAAGAAACGATCGTAGGAAGTGCAATCTGATCAGAAACAAAGTATTACAGGAAATCAAACGCTGATGGACAAAGACTCTACCCACCATACCAACTGGATAGTTTTGCTTTTGACATACGATTGTTTCATTTCAAACCACTTCTAGAACAGATTATGATCGTAAACCAAGGCTCTACTATAATCAACTTTTATAAACAGATATTATAATTTTAACAATAATAAGTACCTATATGATAAATTAATATTGCAAATAATAGTCTACAGAAATGATGCACATCAATTTCATGTTGCAAGATTTTCCCCACCTACGATCGAGAGAGACACAAATGCTTTTGAAGACCAAGCATATTCTGTAACATAAGAATAAGACTCACAATTGTTTTGTAGATAAAGCTAAGGGGTGGAGAGAGATATAGCCATCAAGCAAATAACG